TGGAGTACCATTGTTCCATTTGCCATTAATTAAAGCATCACTTTTACCCCAATTAACTCTGGCTGCAGAAAGTTTGTCAAATTCACTAATAATGGACACTAAAGTATTTACATCCTTTTGACCATTAACAAAAACTATAACATCATCCGCATAAGCTGATAATTGATGTTGAACACTTTTATTGGCAAGCATAAAACCTTCAATTCTAGAACGTAGCTTTCTTAACATTGGCTCAATGGCCAAGGAATATAACATTCCAGACAGGGCACAGCCTTGCCTTATACCTCTATTTATTTTAAAAGGGGCACTCAAACCACCATTGATTTTCAATACGCTTTCAATGTCTTGATACAACACTTTAATCATTCCAATAAAACCTGATCCAAAACCAAAAGCCTCAAGAGTATTCCAAAGGTACTGATGCTCCACACGATCAAATGCTTTTTCCTGATCAATTGAAATTAAACCCAAATCAAGATTAAAATAACTAGACAGATCTAGAATGTCTCTAACAAGACTAATATTATCCATAATAGACCTGCCAGGCACACAATAAGTTTGGTCAGGATGGATAATATGCCCTATCACATTTTTTAATCTATTGGCCAATGTTTTAGAGAGAATTTTAAAATCTGAACAAAGTAGACTCACTGGTCGCCAGTTCTTTATTTCCTGTAAATCACCTTTTTTAGGCAACAGGGTCACCACTGCCCTCCTACAACTCAGAGGGAGTGAGCCCTCAGTCAAACTCTCATTAAGAACAGCCAAAAAATCTTCTCCCAATACGTCCCAAAAGATTTTATAAAACTCGATAGGGAGGCCATCAATACCTGGAGCCTTACCAGGTTGCATGGCTTTTAAAGCTGTTAAAAGTTCAAGTTCAGAGAGAGGCCTTTCAATCTTTTCCTTATACTCCTGTGATATGTTAGGCAAGTTTTCATAAAAACTGGCAGACAGATTTTCATCCTCTTTATATTCACTCCTGTACAAATCCACATAGAATTGTACAGCCCTTCTCCTTATCTCAGCAGGATCTATCAGTACCTGCCCACTTTCAGCACGTAAAGAATGAATGAGACGACTTTGGCCATTTTTTCTTTCTAGACCAAAAAAGAATTTAGATGGGGCATCCATTTGCGTAAGCACCTGAAACCGAGACCTAACCAAAGCTCCTTGTGTTTTTATAGCCAGCAGGTCTGAGAAAGCGGACTTTTTTCTTTTAAGAGCATCAATACATTTTTTATCTCCAGTGGTTTCAACCAAATACTGTAAATTAATAATTTCAGATTCAAATGTTTTCATTGAACGTGCAATGTCTCGAGAAACATTGAATGCGTATTGTTGACATAACATTTTTATTTCTACTTTTCCACAATCCCACCACTGTCGTAGATTTTTAAAATAACTCTTTCTTAATTTAAAATTCTCCCAGAATTTACAAAACACATCTTTAAAGTTAGCATCACCCAACAAAGAAGTATTAAATTGCCAATATGCACTCATTACTTTAATATTTGCTATTAGACATGTACATAAAACAATAGAATGATCCGAAAAACCAACTGGAGCAATTGAGCAATCTCTTATAATATTTAACTGATAACTAAAACAATAAAACCTATCAAGCCTGGCTAATGAAAGAACGTTATCTCTAACATGTGTCCATGTATACTGTTTATTAGAGCCATTCATCTCTCTCCATACATCACATAAGCTATGAGCTTCAATCAGTTCACGCATAGTACGCCCAGAAGTGGTATGAGGTTCCAAGTGGTTTCTATCTAATACATCATTTTCCGTACAGTTAAAATCACCCCCTAAAAAAAGATAATCATCTGAGCTACAGTTTTGTAAAAACCCAAAAGCATTGTTAAGAAAAAGGACTCTTTCAGTGCCAATAACAGGAGCATATAAATTCAAAAAGACAAAATTAAATTTTTCAAATTTTGCCTGTATAGCTAAAAACCGACCAGGAATTTCTTGTTTAATATCACATGAAACAGGCAAAAAATTCCTTGAAAAAAGAATGGCTACTCCACCTTGAACATTGTTTAGGTGTGAAAAATATATTTCCCCCTGCCATTCTCTCCTCCAATCAATCTCATTCAAACTATCACTATGTGTTTCTTGAACGAGCATTACATCAATATTCTTTTGACTTATTAAATCAAATAGCAATGCTCTTTTCTGAATAGACCTAGCACCATTCAGATTGAGAGTTCCTATTCTTATTGCACTCATTAAATTATTTATTTCGAAAAGACACACAAAGAAAAAACATAAATAAAGAAAAAAAGATTTAAGTAGTCTCAAAACCATCTTTGCTTCTTAGTTCCAGCTTCACTTTAGAAACAAATTTCTTCAATCTATACACCTCCTGTGCAGTGAATTGCTTGTCATCCTTACTTCTCATTAAACTAACGACTGAGTCAACAAATGCTCTTTGGTCAGGAAAATAATCTACCACCTGAACATTCTTCATATTCTTTGTTTTCTGCAAAAAAAGTCTCACTCTCTCAAATGTATACACATTTCTCCATTTAGTAGGGCTCACAGCTTCCCCATCAGAATCCTCCTGAGTGCTACAATCAAAGTCATCATTTCTACTGTCCTGTTGCTCTGTTCTTTCCTCGTTTGCTTTTCTTAATTTACTAGATCGCTTTCTCTTAATTACTGGTGTTTTAAACAATGTCTCATCATTTTCAAAATCAACATTCATGTCTTCCTCATTTAGAATAGACCCTGCTGCCTCAGCGACATTGCAAGTTTTCAAAACTTTTCCATCGTTTTCTTCCGTACCTACAACGTCCCCTGAAGCAGCATCATGATCCATTCCCCTTTCCTCTCCTGTACTATCATCATTCACGTTATCCACGGACTGTCCCTGCACGGTTGCCTCAACATTTACATGGTCAGTCTGCTCCATGCCAGCACCGTTTGTGTTTTCATTCTCTATGCTAACATTCGCATTATCCGCAGACTGCTGCTGCTCATTCACTCCAGCCGGAGCGGTATTTTCCTGTGCCACCTCAACACCGCTGGCATTCTTATCACCAGCCTGCGCGGTACAATTTCTCTTTAAATGCCCCTCCATCCCGCATTCATAACACCTCATTGTATCTGAAGATGCAAAAACAACGTAGTCACTGCCATCTACCCGAAATTTAAAGGCCACGTTCAAACCATCAACTCCATTGTTCAAAATCATATATATTTGTCGCCTAAAAGAGACCACATGCTTTAACAAAGCCGATTTGCAACCAAGTGGTATCTTTTTCATTTGAGACATTGTTTTGCCATATCTAGACAGCTCCGTAATTAACAGTTCGTCTTTAATAAAAGGTGGAACGTTTGACAGAATAATCTTTCTTGCAGGTTGTGTTAGGGGCATTGCCGGGATAAAAGTGTCACGGATAACAACTCCACTTTGCACTACACTGTGCACTTTTTCTAAGGAGTCTAAAAAAATGACAACTGCACCATTCATTCGGGAAGCAGACACTATACTATCATAGCCGACAGCTTCCCCGACTGCCAGGGCACAATCCTCAACCGAGCACTCCACAGCAGGTACCAGTTTAATGCCATGCCTGCGTGAAAGTTGCTCTGCGCTGTTTGTCAACGCCGCCATAATCAACCGGCAAAAAAACGCCGGTCAACGGCGTTTCTAAACTCTATCAACTTTATACCGACTAGATCTTTCACCACCAAAAAACTATAGTTGGAAAAACAAACTGCAATAAAGTATAGAAAGAGAATAAATGAAAGAAAAGGAAAAACTCACTCAGCAGCGTTCTCACTCACATGCAATCTCCGCCCATTCACTCCCAGCATGCGCACGAGAGAGAGAGAGAGAGAGAGAGAGAGAGAGAGAGAGAGAGAGAGAGAGAGAGAGAGAGAGAGAGAGAGAGAGAGAGAGAGAGAGAAACAGACAGGCAGACCCAGACAGATATGGGCTGAGGGGACACTCTGCTAATGAAGCAACAGGGGGGGCTGGCATAAAGTTGAGACAGATGAGATCCTATCTGTAACATAACTCAAGCATCACCCTTCACTAGACCTACATATCCATAACAAGCCTCATCAAATTAAACTGAACAGCTCTATACTGATGAATACCTATTTGTGACTTCAACTACTATACGAAAAATATTTCAAGCTAACTTGAAAATGTAACTCCTAACCAACACCAGACATTAAACATTAGACATTTTATCAGTTCTTGCTTTCTCTGGGAATCAAATTCATTATGCTATTGTTAGTGCTACAGGAAGCATTGCTTATTTAAAATACTGTGTCAAAACTAGCCTCTTTGCAAGATATTTGATCTGGTTACTTTTGCAATGTATCTAATTCACATTTCAGTTCTGTAAAAGGCTAATTCACAATACTGAACATTATAAAATAAACTTTGTTCTCTGAATAACCCAGATTTTTGGCTACATTTAAATCCCAGCAATATATATTTCTAAAATATTCAAAAGGCGAAAATCAAATGCATTTGAAACAATGATCCGAATGTTGACAAAGCTATTAAGGGCCATGAAACAGCTGGTGAGCCCATGTTCCCAGGGAAGCTGAGACCCCTTAGCCCAAGCTCTGCTTTCCCCACCTGCCACTAAAGCAGATTGGAGTGAAATGCAAACACTGCCAGTCATCAACAAGAGGAGCGTAGGGGAGGGGGGCAGTAAACAATAACTGAAAAAAAAAAACACACACACACTGGCCTCTTAACCATGCTGCTCCCATGACCTCAGGCTTAGAATGAGACTTAAGAGGTCAATGCCAAGCTTTGTTGAGAACAGCATAGCAGGGTGGGGGACACAATCCCACCCTTGGTCTTTAAATCAATGTCCCTCTACACCCATGCATCCCAGCTGGGTCATCAAAGCAATCACATTGCTCTAGTAAAAAGACAGATGACAAAAAAATACACCAGATTTGAAGTGAAAATAAACATCTCAAGTCTCTCCATGAACAAATAAAAAGAAGATTCTCACCCGTGAGCTGTTTGCTGGTGGCTGTCTCTAGAGGAGGGCAAGTAGAGTTTGTGTTATGCACGCCACTAGGTAAAGGTCGACCCTCGTTCAGTAGCTGCCTCTGCTTCTGCTGTCGGAAGCGTGGAGGAACCTCTCTTGGCACATATCGAGGACTGAGCTGCTGTAATGGAGGTAACTGCTGTTGTAGGGCAATACAAGGGCTACACTTGCCATTGCTGGTAGTAGCTGCAGAGGTTACAGGCAGATTGAGGGTCAGAATGGGCCTGAAGGGACACTGGGATTAGGTTTTAAAGAGTCTGGCACTGCAAAACAAGAGAAAATAGAAAAGCAAACTTTCACTTTATTTAAATTAATGACATGACAGAAATAAATGACAATATTTCTATTTTAAAACAACGACACATTTTTACACTATTTGTAAAAAAAATTAATGGTTACAAAATTTCCCCGAGAACATGAAATCAACATATATATATATATATAGTTGAAAGTCATACAAGTGACAATTTCACACCCGTCAATAATAACAATATTGGTGTGATTTCTGAAAAATCATGTGACTGAAGACTTCAGTAATGAAGCTGTAAATTCTTAATTAAAACTCACTGGAATAAATGATTAAATAAATGATAAACTACTTTTGAACAGTTATTTTATTGCAATAACATTTCACAATTTTATAAAATGTACTGTAATTTTGATGTAATAAATGCAGCCTTGGTGAACAGGATAAGCTTATTTTAAAACATTTAAATATCGTACTGACTCCAAACTTTTGACCGGTTGTGTGTATAATTGAAGTTTTTAACCTCAAAAATCATTCTTTCAAAACAAAGAAACCTCAAACTGATTTATCCATAAAGAAAAGCAGCAAGCTGAATAAGTGTTCCAACTGTTCCATTTCAATCCTAAATAATAATAGAGGTATAAAAAAAGCTGAAACAAAAGTTGCAAAGGATTTTCAACAATGAATTAATGATGGTGATTATAAATTTGGAGATGGTTATTTATTTACAGGTTAATTTCTGACAGTCAAGCAGCACTCTCATACCCAATTTTTCAATGAGATGATACCGTTTCATCGGAATTAACTGAATAAGAATCAATGACTATTTAACCTATTTAAAATGCACAATGTTTCCAGAGATTTATGCATGTGCAAACAGCAGCAGACAAAACAACAAAATATCCAAAAATACTAAATGCAGGAAAAATACAACTATTTAAACACAATGAAAATATCTACACAAATAATCTTCAATTAACAAATTAAAGAAATAAGAGCATCAACAAGTATTGCAGCTATTATTTCTTTTGTGCCACACTCCCTAAATTTAAGAAGTCAAGGGAAAAGGGCAGCTGTGTGTTTTCCTGTTTTGTTGTTATTGGGATTATACAGAAATGGAAACTTCCCAGTATGGAATGAACACTAATGCAGAGCAGATGGAGTCACGGTTCATACCAGTTAAATCCAAAAGCATTCAAACCATGAATGATTCAAATGGCTCTGTGTTGTGTAAAGTTCACCGTGTGTCATGGACGCTTTCAGTTTAGAATTGAATTGAACTAAAACAAAATCACTGTGAGTGCAAATCCCATGGCAGTCTATCAACCATTGACACAGTCTATTCTGTCATTGGTAAAAATTTCTATTAACACACCCTCTGAGCTACAGTATCCTTAGTATTTGGGGTGTAGTAGGTTCATCTGTTTAATATATATTTTTTTACACATTTAATTTTTTTCCCAACATGTACTGATGGTGCAGTTGAAAGTTATCTAGTATTATATAAAAATGCTTTCTAATCATAGGAGCGGGCATCTACTTCCTAGCCTTAAATGCAGCCTACCAAGAAAAAGCGTGCATCTCTCTAGCCAGCCTCAAAACCAAAAAGCCAATTTTAGATTGAGATGTTTTGAATGTAAAAAACGCACAAAAGAGGACAACAAAAACCACAAAAGGGAGTACAGCAGTAAAAAATTATTTTGAAAAATCTATGATCTCTTTAAAGGTGCCATAGAATACAGACAGAGGATATGTTTTAATTGTTTTCTGATATCTACATCAAAAGTATGTGACTTAAGCAAGTCCAAAATGCTCCAGAAACCGTTTCACAACTGTAAAATATGACAAGAAACAATACAAAGCCCACTTATGTTCCTGTTTAAATCTCTGAGTGATTTCCTGGATATTCCAAGTAAACACTTCAATGGGGAGCCATCTGGGGCAGTTTCTCTGAGAAGTTTGGAGAAAACAAACTAAATTACAATAAGGATAAAGCACTGAGCAGCTCTATGCCAAGCTACTGTAACTTACCCAAGGATTTGGGTTAAAAATAGACACAGTTCAAAGAAAAGCTTCATGCTGAGATGAGCCATTTATAACAGTCTGAAAGGCAGATTAGCCTTTAGACAATAAATGGACTGGAAATTCTAATGCTGGTGAATGAAACACTGTTAAACTGCACATCTCAACACATTTAAAATCACGAGTTGTCTCTGTGTAGCAAGTGGGATCAGGAGACACATATTAACCAAGCAAAAAAAATAAATAAATAAATAAATAAATGGTAACGTTTTCCATTCGTGAATTGAATACAGAGATTCCCTGGAGTCATTTAAAAACAGAGAGCAGCTCAAAGCTGCTGTCTGCTGGCTGAAGCCAGTGACGCACATCTATGATTACATTCTGCACAGTGTGTCTATCCATCGACCATGCTTTCCCACCAATCAGAACCAAGAACAATCTCTGCCTGTCTCTTTCTCTTCAGTGCCCTTCTCCTTACATTTCCCTTCCTCCTCCTCCTCCTCCTCTACCCTTTCGTTCTCTCCTCCATCCCCCATAGCCTGTTCAGCTCCTTCATTGTCCCCATTGTTCAAAGTGCTTGTGAATTCATTACAGGAAGCAGATGGACACTGGGACCATGAGCTCTTCACACTAGAAATCTCAGACAGGCAATTTGCTGGGAGGCCTCACTCATTCCATCTCTTCCTGTCTGTGTCAATCTTTTGCTTTTGAGATTCTAACTCAGTCCATGGCTTTAGGTATCTTTTTCTCGGAAATAACTATACCTCTTAATCCCTGAACAAATACGGCCCCACCAATATCTCTTTAAAACGTTCAGAAGAAATTGAATATTCATTCATCTTAAAACTATAAATAAATAAATTCTCAAAAAATTGGTTGTCATTAGCATGATACTGATATCTGGGTTACAATGCAATATTGTTTTTTTTTTCATGCGCAATTTACAGAAAAAAAAATTAAAAGAACACTTTAAAACCACTTCAAAACGTTTTCTGCATTGAGATCTGGTGACAGTAAACCTTCTGGCAAAGGCACATACATTAATGATGTGACATCCTGAAGGAGTTGGACTGCATGAGCAAACTCTGCAGGGTCCAAATATCGCCTCACTCTAATAGAAGTGACACTGACCTTAGTAGAATGCAAAAATGGTGAAAAACAGCTGGAAAGTGATGAGTTAAGAAACGATGTCTGTGGATTATTCCTGTAAAACCAATTCTGCTTTGGAGGTTTCACACAGTAGTTGTCTATTTTTGGCACCAAACCAGCCAAAGAAAAATGAGTGGCAACCCCTGCTACTAACCTGACCAGATCAATATCCCAGACGTTTAACTTGAAGCTATCTTTAAATGAAAAAGTGTTTCTTTAGACTTTATGTGCAATGTATATTCTTGCATATATAAGCTTCCCTTTTTTAACAATATGAAAACATCATAGACTCTCCTAATTAGCAATTTCCTCCTGTATATTGCTCAATAATCTACATTATATAATGTAAATACAAATTTAATTTGCATTTGTCTTGGGATGACACTAGTTTAATGATTCATAGAAAAAAACAAGAAAATTTCATGCAGTCTTGAAAGCACATTAGAGTCAGTGCAGAGGACAAGAGATGGTTCTGTATTTATAATAAAAGTAATCAAAAATACTCTCTGGGCAGCATTTGATTTATTCTGCTGAGCTTCAATTCTGAAATGAGTTCTGAAAAGCATTAAAAAAAATGTCCTTCCTAACCTGAGGATCATGTTTAAAATTTCTCTTTATGGATGCACTTTAAGATGCAATACACACCATATTTAATTAAGCTGTATTAAAGCTTCGCTTAGCAAAGATTAAACATCATTTAAATGGAATTATTTGAATGGAAGTTTGGGAACAACAGTACCATGCTAAATTAAAAGACGGCACCACCATGAATCCATTTAAATGTGCATTTTTAAACAGACAAGACAATCCTCTGGCTACCATGACAGAAGCTGCAATAATCACAACAACAATAATAATTATAATAATAATAGTAATAATAATAACTGAAATTGTAGTTTTGACACAATAGACAATGTAAAAAGTGCTATACAAGCAGTTGTGGCTTAATCGAAAGGTTGCAGGTTCAATTACCTGTCTCGGCACAAGTTAAAAATGGGGGCAGCAAATGAACTTTACTCTCTCCATCTTCAATACCCAGCCGAGGTCAAAATTCCAAACTATGTGATCATTATAGGCATGGCCCGGTATAAGATTCTGACGGTATGATAACCTTGGATAAAAATATCACGGTTTCACTGTATTATGCTTACTGCTCTAAAATATATTCTTTTCAAATGTCTGGGTAAAAAACTAAAACTTTTCTCTTTTAAACACAATACATTTTATTTTGAGAAACACTTAAAATATTTTGGAACAGTAAACATGTTAATCTAAATTAATTATCGACTTCTGTCTTCATTTGTTTAGAAAACAGATTTTCTTTACAATTTAAAATGGCATCTTTGGATATCTTTTCTGCTGGAGATGTCCTAAATATTAAAAAAATAAATAAAAAAAAATCTTACACATAACTTAGGTACGGTATTGCAGAAAATTTTGGCGGTTTCAAAATCTTGACTTTTCCAAACCGCGGTATACCTAAGCTGTTATCGTCCCATGCCTAGGTCATTATATGGACTCTTGAGATGAGCTGAATGAATTAACTGTGAGTTCTAATGGACATGTGTACTAAAGTTTAAGCGCTGACTGCTGGCTCGATTGAATGTTGCAATGTAGATACACATGACAGTACAATTAAATAATATGCTAAATTAAGTTCTCTAAACTGATTAATTTGCTGCAGTATAAATCAACATAATATAATCGAAACTTTCCTGATTGACTTGAGTATTTATTACTGTCGCAACTGAAGACCCTTCTTGCTTTCTGCTTAGTCAAATTAGCAACTAATTAGATTGCGGTTCATGAGAATCAGCCTCATGGGGTGCGTTGACGCAATTAATT